TTCTTAATAAACTGTGTCTATACTTTCGTTCCCGTCCAAATGTGAAATACTAGTTTACGAAAGTTTTGCTGACTTATTTTTTCCGTGTATGGTCCCGTCTTTGGCCGTCTTTGGCCAGAGTCGGCCCGACCTTTTAAAATTAGGGTTTTTGAACTTTGGCTGCCATAGTTCTGCCGACCATCGGCCCGACTTTGGCCAGAGTTGGCCCGTCCTTTTAGAATTAGGTTTTTTGAACTTTGGCTGCCATAGTTCTGCCGACCATCGGCCCGTCTTTGGCCAGAGTCGGCCCGACCTTTTAGAATTAGGTTTTTTGAACTTTGGAAATCACAGTCGGTCCAACTTTGGGTAAAAGTAGGAACCAAAGTCGGGTCAACTTTGGCTGCCGAGGTTTCGGCAGCCATAGATAGACCGACCAAGGCCCGACGTACCAACTATGGCTGCCGACCTAAATTCGCACCTGGGTAACTATTTAATTTTATTTTATCTCTTTAATTATAATAAAAAAATATAATTTTGATATTTCATGATGTTTTTTTATTAAATTCTAATTTATTATTTAACTTGAAAATTTTCTTCTACAAATTATTATAATCATACATTGAATTATTGTTTATTATTATTTATTTTTAAAAAAGAGATAAAATAATTTGTATAATAATTAATAATAAATCAATTAATTAATCAATTATTAAATTAATAATAATTAATTAATAATTTCTTTTTTGTGATAATTTTTAATTAACACAATTATTTATTAAATAATTATATATTGTTAACTATATTTCAGACTGCTTACTTTTTTATAATTTAATCTACACAAATTTAAAAAAGTTACATTTTACATAAATAAATTATATTATAAATTAAATTATTATATTTATAAATTATATTATTACCTTTTACACCTTATTTATAAAAGATTAAATTATAAAAGAAGTAAGTAGTCTGAAATATAATTAACAATATATAATTATTTAATTAATAATTGTGTTAATTAAAAATTTTCATAAAAAAGAAATTATTAATTAAATAATTATTATTAATTTAATAATTGATTAATTAATTGATTTATTATTAATTAGTATACAAATTATTTCATCCCTGTTTTAAAAATAAATTCGGTATATTTTTACCAATAGTCTTTTTAGTAAATATATTCCAGAAATTCAAATTATTATTTCGTAAATTGATAAATTTATACGAAAAACCAGAAGTAAGTTAAACCGACGCGCACTTCGTTATTTACTAAATTTATATGAAAATTTGGAAAGATTATTTCGAAATTTGTTAAAACTATACTAAAAATTCGAAGTGGTTCAGTCGTGACAGATGACGACAGAAACACCAATAGATTCTACGCCAAAGTTTTATCTCTTTCTCATCTCGAAGATAGACGAGGATATGAACTTTTAAATGCACACACACAAATACACCGCATTGTTTTATATCGATTGGCTTATTTTTATTCCTAACCTATACTAACGATAATACGTATAACATTCGCAGAATAACGCTTCATATACAAATTTACGCACATGTGAAAAACTGATGTGACCATTCTTATATACTAACCAGACATATTTTTCACCGCTTATGAGAAAGGTGAAATTATATCAAAACATGTTTAAAAATATAAATAAAAATCATTATTTATTGGGAAATAATTAAATATTTTATTATTTTTTGAAGAACAATTTTTTTACTGATTTATTGTAAAATCTTCGAAATTAATTATATAAAAGAAATTCAGGTCTGTATCAAGATAATGGTAAAAAGGGACTTGTCTAAAGAGCTTCGTCAGTCTTCGTTGCCACTCGGTGAGGATCGGGCAATTCCGAACGTTCAACTTTGGCAAATTTCGTCGAATCTCGTTAACTTTGATATTTCTTTTTCAATTTTCATATCAAATATATCAAAATCTGAAATAAATATATCATTTTATACAATTCTAATTACGAAATTTGAAATATTTGGTTAGAAAAATTGATAAAGAGCTTATTAAAATTTGACATTTTTGTGTTTCAATAAAAAGATTTCAGATTTCGTAAATATTATATCAAATTTTCTTTCCAACTATATTAAATATTCTTATTTTAATCTCAATCATTTTTAAAAATAGTATCGAAAATCGTTATCATGCCAAAATGTTCCGCAATTGTAACCAAATATACTAAAAAGTAACACCATAATATCAAATATTGCTACAAACTTTCTTTCCGTGTATCCCTTTAATTGAAAGCATTAATATTAAATTTTATTTTATCCCTTTAAGTATATTTTACAAAATAAAGTAAAGAATAATTTGATTTTTATTTAAAAGTTTTATTAAAATCTAATTTATTATTTAACCTGAAATTTAATTTCAATAAATTATTATAATCATACAGGAATTATTGTTTATTACATTTGAAAATTAATAATAAAAACATTTTTCAATAAATAATTAATTTTTTACTTAATATATTTATTGTGAATTACTAAAGAATATTTTTACATTTTAAATTTCCCGCGCCAAAAAGCAATCGACCGCCGGTAAATGCATGCATAGTATCTAGCGAATAGAGGAAAACGAAAAAGAGGCTCATATACACGGAATGTATATGCATGTGTTAGTGTACGGATGGAAACATGGTGGGGGTCAAGTCTATCTGCGGCCTGGTCACACTGATGCATGGCTTTCTCCAGAAAAACATGCCAGGCACTGGCCAGTTTCCCCTTTTAAAGGCATTCCCCAAAAATAGCATTACAGCCTGTCCAGTTACTGGCCAATATTACTGCCCAGTCCCTTTCTATTCACAAGGCAGATTGGCCAGGGCCTCTCTAACGCCTTTTGAAGATTTCCACACGGGAAATGCAGCTTATCAAAATATTTTTGTGTTGAGATTCCATATGTGACCGGGTCTGAGAAAATAGTGTTATCGACCAAAAAAAATTTGTTGCATTTGTTTAAACAAATTTAAAAAAAAATTTATTTCGAAAATGAAATTTTTAAATTTCATATTTTGACTTTTGCAAAACAAATTGTTTATAACAATAACACTGAAGTTCAAAAATTTATTTAACCATAAAAATCGTGTTCAGCATAAAAAAACAAATAAGGAACACTTATCTAGGTCCTTTAAAATATAAAATGTTTCAAGAAATCTATTTTAATTTCAAATGTTTAAACAATTGCGCTTTCTGTCAGAACTTATATTATTAATGAAGGAATTAGTTAATTAATTAATAATTATTAATTAAAAATTTTTTTTTAACTTTGACAATACTGGGGCACTAATGGCAGCCAATATTGGCCCAATAATGGCGTCCGATACTTGGCTGCCGACGTCTAGCCGCGCTTAAGAGCATTTGAACCTTCGTGACGTCACAAATCATGGCGCATGACACGCAAACTTCTCAGGTATGTGAAAAGCACAATTTTGAATATTTTTTAAAAAAACCTTTTGGAAAATGTTCAGAATAACATAGACTCTGTCTGTTATGTGCGGAAAATTCAAAATTTTGCGTTTAAAACGTTTTTTAAACAATGTTTAAGTTGGTTGTCACAAGTAAGGAAAAATACACGAATTGCTTATATGTAGGCCATTTTTGGAAAGACCAGGATAAAAATTGAAAAATTCTTATGTAATTTATCAAATATTTAAATTAATTTTATTATAAATAATAATTAAAATTGTTTATTACTAATTAAACAATAAATTGTTGTTGTTTATTTACTTTTGTCAAAAAGCACATATAAAAAATTGCTTTTTTATATGTGCTATCTGAAAAAAGTACATAAATAAAAAAAACAATAATTATTTATTTAAAAAATTGAAAATAATTGGATTTTCAACCTTTTGTACAACATTGAGATGAGTAATTTTAAAAATTCTAAAAAACATGCTATTTTATATTTTCTCCTTTGAAAAAAAGATAAAAAACAATAATTAATTATTTGAAAAATTGAAATACAATTTGAAATTTAATCTCTTTTTTTACAATATTGAGAATAGCAATTTAAAAAATTGTCAAAAAATTGCTTTTTTATATGTACTTTTTGAAAAATTTATATGAAAAACAATAATTATTTATTTAAAAAATTGAAGAATAATCTGCTTTTTAGCCATTATTTTTTACAACATTGAGATAAGTAATTTGAAATTTCTCCAAAAACTGTTTTTTTAAAAGTGCTATTTGAAAAATGCAATTTATATGTGTTTTTTTAATAAAAAAGAATAAGTATTGATTTAAAAAATTGAAAACTAATTCAATTTTTAAATATTACGTTTCACAATTTTTAAATTGGTATATTTCAAAATTAGGAAAAAACTGCATTTTTGTATGTTTTTTTTTTTTTTTTTTTTTTAAGTGAATAAACAACAACAATTTATTGTTTAATTAGTAATAAACAATTTTAATTATTATTATTATTTATAATAAAATTAATTTAAATATTTGATAAATTACATAAGAATTTTTCAATTTTTATCGTGGTCTTTCCAAAAATGGCCTACATATAAGCAATATTCGTGTATTTTTCCTTACTTGTGACAACCAACTTAAACATTGTTTAAAAAACGTTTTAAACGCAAAATTTTGAATTTTCCGCACATAACAGACAGAGTCTATGTTATTCTGAACATTTTCCAAAAGGTTTTTTTAAAAAATATTCAAAATTGTGCTTTTCACATACCTGAGAAGTTTGCGTGTCATGCGCCATGATTTGTGACGTCACGAAGGTTCAAATGCTCTTAACACCACAAAAGTCGGCGCAATATTGTTTTGGCCCAAAACTGAGCCAGTATTGGTTTTCGCACTTGGGATTAAACCTAAAGTAATGTGTCGTCGCGAAATAACTCCACAAACAATCGTCATACTGACATGTTATTATTTACTTGTCATATTTCTTAATAAGGGTTCCAAAAGTAAAAAAAATAAAGGTTTGAAATCTTTAACCAATATAATTTGAAATAAGTTTGTATATATTTTATTGTAATATATTATATGATTATTTATAGTTGAAGGAGCAGTGGGCAACGGAAACAATCGAGAAGAAAAGTTTTTTTTAAAAGCACACACTGACAACGTTGGCGAAGAACTTGGATCTAGGGATAACATCATGGACTCACAACAACAATTTTGCCTCAAATGGAACAGTTTCGGCAATAATTTAGCTACAGCATTTTCAAATCTTTTCAAAAGTGAAAGTCTTACAGATGTGACCCTTTTTTGTGAAGGTAAGCATGTTTCGTTTTACTTATAAAGTGACATTTCAAATATGGACGGCAGATTTTCATTAACCCATTAACACCCAAAATTTTGACTTTGAATTAAAGATAAGAATTCTGCCCCAATTTATAAGATATTTCAATGTCACGTAGTAATATTGGTTATTGAAGTTTTTTTGTAAACTTGGTTTTCATATAACTCAACCGCTATAATGTATAACTTTCGCACCGCCCTCTACATTAGTGTCCTTGTCTGTAAAGAATAAAACGATAATTAATATCCGCGCTCCCGCTCGCGTAATTAATCAACATAAAAGTCTTTAGTTGTCTTTACTAGTAGATTTTAAAGTCTATGTTTAAAAATTGGTCAAGTAATTACACTCGCTCACCTAAAGTGCTAGGTATTTAAATTAAATCCAATCGGTTTCAACATATTTTTCGTTTAATTTACTAGCGAAAATACGTATATGTGTACCAAGTTTCAAGTCATTAGCTTCAAAACTGTACAAGTTAAATAAGGTATAGACATGCTAAGGGCTGACACCTAGACTAGCTGAGACGACTTGCGATCGGCTAAACTCCAAAAATATTAATTTTTAAAAAAAAATTTTCTGTTAAAAGGTTAGTATTACAGCGGCAGTAGTCGTAATCAAAAGTTTTATTCCCGCATTTACTTTTCCGTACCTTAGTTTCTCCCTCTAAGTCTTATAATTTCAGACCAGACTGTACCCACTACTACAAATATACTCGTGTACGTATATTCGAATGAGTGAATATACGACAACGTCGCTTTCTGTTGCTTTGCTCTGACAAGTGTTGTGCGCTTGTTTTTGATTAAAAAACATACGATTTATTACATTTTTGTTATTCTTCAAATTCAAACTATTGTTTAATAATTTTATTACCTACTTTTTTCATGGAATTTTACAAATTCCTAAATATAACCTAAAAATAACTAAAAAAATTATCTTACAATTCTTCCTATTGGGATTGGCTAAACTTCAATACGCTATCTGCTATTTCCCTACTTCTGGCAACCATATTATCCTTTTTCGTCTTTCTTTAATTAACACGATAGACAGATAAATAAAAACCAAAATGTCTGATGAAGTAGGTAAACCCAGATAGCACAACTGTTTGCTGTAATTTTGCAGAAAGTTTTAAACTTTCTACATGGCAATTTATACAATTGTCTATTCTAAAAGTTGCACTGTTTTCGCTACAAAAATTTTTTTTCCATGTAATCTCATTTTTGCTGCAGTTCAAAATGAGTAGCATACGTCACTAATTTTGAGATCAGGTTTTTTCTGTGTTATTATTAGCACTATATTACACTATGTCAGATAATTTTATAATTTTTATAATGCTAAATTTCTCAAATGACGTAATAAAATACAAATTTTAACTTGTACCCTAGTAGAAATTTGTCCCAGTAATTATCGTGGCACTGGAAAGTTGCGCTAGAAGCTGTCTAGTAACTTAACACTGCAACTGCACGGAAAAAACAAACTAACTATTTTAGCACCAAACTGCTTTATCCTTTATTAGTATGCAATTTCGTTTATCTATTAGAGTATGAAATAATGCTTTTTTAGTTTAAAGTACTAAATAAGTATAATGGTTATACTCGTATAGTAATAGTGACGTACTATAAAAGCATAAAATTGATGCCCGCGAAGTACGACATATAGTCTACCTAAAATAGCAAGAGCTTCTTCCTTTTTGGTGTATAAATTCTTGCAACCTGCGTTTTGGCCACGCCTCCCTCCCTTTCCAACCATTGATATATCGATATAGGCCAAAACGCAGGTTGCAAGAATTTATACACCAAAAAGGAAGAAGCTCTTGCTATTTTAGGTAGACTATATGTCGTACTTCGCGAGCATCAATTTTATGCTTTTAAAGTACGTCACTATTACTATAAGAGTATAACCATTATACTTATTTAGTATGGACTTACTTTAAACTAAAAAAGCATTATTTCATACTTTAATAGGTAAACGAAATTGCATACTAATAAAGGATAAAGCAGTTTGGTGCTAAAATAGTTAGTTTGTTTTTTCCGTGTGGCTAATTACTCGAATGGAATGTCACGCTTTTTTCGTCTAGTTATTGTCTAGCCCAACTTGATAAATTCTGATCAACGGTCCGTTAGAAAAACTAGACAAATTATTTCTTTTAAATATTCTCAAAATTTGTCTAATATTAAGATTTAATGTAAGAAACTAATTATACAATAATAAATTATATAATTGACCGAATTCATTTCAAATCAGACAGGCTTGACTTGGTTGGAGCTGAAAATAATTTTCACCTTCAAAATGTTGTTCTTCAATGAATTTTAGACGACACGTATTTTTTTATTTTGCTGAAAAAAATTTTTTCTTTAAGTTATAAGAAGTTCAAATATATAAGTCGAGAACTTCATTTTTTTTAAAATGAAGAGAAAAAATCTTAAAAGTGATGTAACTTTTTGAGTAATTAAGATAATTCACTTTTTCCTTTTGTATCTGAAAGGACTTTTATTCTTCTTTCGAAATCCATTGGAAAATTTAAAAAATATTTAAAAATAACAAAATGGCGGCCATTTTACTAAAAAACTTTCATTTGAAATTACTCAAAAACCCCACCTTTTTTTTTGCTCAAAATTTTTTTGGGAATTGTGTTCATAGGGAGGAATATTGCCCACAAGAATTTAACTTGTGCCCGATTCTGGCACAAGAGAAAAAATTTTTTTTATATTTTTTAAAAGAAAAACATCATTTTTCTCAAAAAATACACTAGATATAAAAAAATGTCTCAGATAAAAGTTGTTCCTCGTTAAAAGACCTAAAAGACCTTTTCATATTTAAAAATAATAATAGTGACATTACAATACAAAAATTATATAAACATACCTTATTTTGCTTTTTAAAAAATAATAACTGATTCTTTAATTTCTTAATATTAATACTCGCTATTATTTTACTGAACACAAAAAATTAACAATTTTAACCTCTGTGACAGTAAAGATTATTAATAATTATTTGATTTCCACACAGCACATTAAATTTCCTGAATTTGTCCTGAATATTTCATTGAAAGATTCGAAATATTTCAATAAAAGGTCCATGAAATTTTGATGCAAACATGCGAAATGTCCGCCTATAAGAAATATTGCAGTTCCAGTTGTCCTGAATATTTCAGCGAAATGTTCAGGAAATGTGAGGATGAAAAATTACTGACATATTACGTTTTAATATTTGCGAAATAAAAAAATGAAATATTTTACAAATTTTTAAGTGAAATATTTTGAAAAAATTATTGATTAAGATTCTAGAAATGTGGAAAGGAAATATTTCTAAATTGTTAAAAATATATATTTCGGCAATATCATCCGGATATATTTGTGAAAAATAAAAAAAATGAATTACAGAAATAAATTGCGGTAGTGATTGTGAAAATATGTGACAAAATTAGTTAACCGATAGTAAACCTTTATAAAAGAAAAAAATTTTCGATAATAATGCCTTAAATTATAACTTACAAATGAATCTTAAATTTAACATATCTCAAAATGTCTTAAATCGATGTATGCCGTCTTTCCGGCGATCGGTTCATATGTACCTTTTGTCATTTGCAATTTTAGACAAATTAAATTTTAAACATTTGAAAACTCTGAAAAATAGAAATGTTATAAAATGACAATTCTGCGAATCAAATTTTTTGTTCAATAATAATTATGCAGTAAATTAAGAATTCAATTAAAAAGTTACGAATATTGAAAGTCCAGTCAAGTAAAATTTGTAACAAATTGACTTTTATAGTATATTCATGCGTACCTGAGCGGATATTTTTTAATTTAAGTATTCTATTTTTATACTTACTTTTCCTGTGTTGCATCTTACATGTAATAATTTCTTTATAATAAATAAATTGTCACTATTTAACTAAATACACAATTTTTGTCACATATTTTCACAATTAATACCTCAATTTATTTCTGTAATTCATTTTTTTTATTTTTCACAAATATATCCGGATGATATTGCCGAAATATGTATTTTTAACAATTTAGAAATATTTCCTTTCCACATTTCTAGAATCTTAATCAATAATCTTTTCAAAATATTTCACTTAAAAATTTGTAAAATATTTCATTTATTTATTTCGCAAATATTAAAAAATAATATGTCAGTAATTTTTCATCCTCACATTTCCTGAACATTTCGCTGAAATATTCAGGACAACTGGAACTGCAATATTTCTTATAGGCGGACATTTCATGTTTGCATCAGAATTTCATGGACCTTTCATTGAAATATTTCGAATCTTTCAATGAAATATTCAGGACAAATTCAGGAAATTTAATGTGCTGTGTGGGTTGTTGCTATGGAAAAAGACAAAAAAAGAACTCTTTCAAACAGATTTATGAAACTATGTTAAATGATATTTAAAAAGCAATAAATGTGAGCTTTTAATCCATGTTTTGCAAATATTGTTGAACAAACACAAGATGGACAAAAATGACAACAGACATTTTTTTAGGTCTTTTAACGAGGAACAACTTTTATCTGAGACATTTTTTTATATCTAGTGTATTTTTTGAGAAAAATGATGTTTTTCTTTTAAAAAATATTAAAAAAATTTTTTCTCTTGTGCCATAATCGGGCACAAGTTAAATTCTTGTGGGCAATATTCCTCCTATGAACACAATTCCCAAAAAAATTTTGAGCAAAAAAAAAGGTGGGGTTTTTGAATAATTTCAAATTAAAGTTTTTTAGTAAAATGGCCGCCATTTTGTTATTTTTAAATATTTTTTAAATTTTCCAATGGATTTCGAAAGAAGAATAAAAGTCCTTTCAGACACAAAAGGAAAAAGTGAATTATCTTAATTACTTAAAAAGTTACATCACTTTTAAGATTTTTTCTCTTCATTTTAAAAAAAACGAAGTTCTCGACTTATATATTTGAACTCCTTATAACTTAAAGAAAAAATTTTTTTCAGCAAAATAAAAAAATACGTGTCG